AGTACTGGCTTTGTTGCACATCTCCATCTTGTGTGCTGGCTGAAAAGAATACCGTTTCAATATAATGCTTGGGGATAATTGTGGCAAGTAAGTACCTAACTCAGGGTTATGGAGTCTGCTAATAAGGCCAAGCACCTGAAGGTTTGCAGTGGAGACAGAGAGTCCCTTCATGCATCTAGAGCTAAGTTATAAGCACTGATAACAAGGTTCACCCTGAAGATGATAAATAATTTTAATGTAGTTCTGTACCCACTCCATTGAACGAGGGACAAATATGTTGGAGAAAAAACTGTAGAAAAGGTACCCACTAATGTACAATATCCATGAATTTGAGCAGTTTAACGGGTAAATTTGCATAGCTTTTACCATGATGTTGAGCAACAACTCTCAGTAAAGGTTACTGTGATGGACAATTAAACTTGCTATGCATGAAAGTTTCTTGACGAGTAAACTTGCTCTGCGTGAAAGTTTCTTCAACAAGCACTGATCCCTCTCTGAGAGTAAATTCTTGTCTCCAACCATTACCTGGCTTGCTTTAGCATTGCAGATCAACACACAACCTACACCTTTCACGAAGTTTTCCATATTTTTCAGTTAATCAGGAATGATGATTTCTTTTCCTTCTGTTCTCTTTCTTCCATTGGTATGGTTGACTTTTGTCTTTGCACTCCTTGACTCTGGAGTCTTTTGTATCTCTTCCATCTGACCTGTCCACCTTGCAAACGCCAGACCTAAATCATCCCCAAACATCTAATTTCTCCCTTATGGCTGCGTTTATAGTGAATATCCTATGACCAGGCTGACTTCTACAAATACAGTATTTCCTCTTTCACATCTGTCATAATCCTAGGGAAATGGCTGTAGTTCTCCATTTTACTCAAATCCCACAGCTGCAATCTCAGGCCTTTTTTTTTTGGTCACCCTTGACTCACTCTTCAAAACCTCCTCTTCACCCATTTCTCTTTCTGTCTCTGCGCAGGATCTTGCCAAGATTTTCAAAAACAGTTTCACATTATGTAATACGATCTTTTCTCCCTCCCTTTGGTTTACCTTCCTTTCCCATTCAGACTCCTACAAAGCTCTGTTCTTCCTTCCTTGTTTCAGATGCAGGTGTTCCTCACCTGACTTTCTTCATTTAACTCCCTCCTCTGTTTTCTGGTAATCACATCTTATCCCCTCTCCTGCTATCCCTTGCACCCACTATTAATCCTTCCATCATTTTTTTCCTTAACTGCTCACTTTGTCAGAGCTGTGTCAAAAGTGGGTTCTTCTGGCTTGATGGCCAAAACAAAAAACAAATTAGCTTACGTTAACACAAATTGGGCATTGATTTTTGGACCTTTTGGATTAAATGAAAACATGCAGCATATTTTGTTTCAGATGAAATGAACAATGTTGTTTCATTTTTAGGTTATTTAACCCTTTTGAAAACCGTAAAACTCAATTTCTAAATAAGAGCCCTGTTTTGAAAGAAAAAAATGTTTTGTTTTGAAACATACTGAAACAAAACCTTTCTTCATTGTTTCTAAATTCTTTCCCCTACTTTTTAGACAAAATTATTAGCTGAAATGGACTTAAATTTGAGTAATGTTTTGGTACTTGGAATCCTCATTTTTTGGTTAAATTAGCATTTTCTGCTAATTTAATTCAGCAGCAAGTACTAATTTTTCTGAATTTGAATTAGCAGAAAAATGGTGACAAAATGGACCTATCTGTTTCCCCCTCATAATATAAAAAGGTCTATCCTATCTAAAAAAAACACATCATCTCTCCAATTTATGACCCATTTTCCTCCTCCCTTTAATCTCTGACTTAAAGCAATATCTTCTATTACCACCTGGAATTCCTCCAGATGTACCACAGATCCTCTAGCTTCTGTCCTTGCACTCAACTGAAAGTGCGCTTGCCAAAGTCTTTATGACCATGTCTTAATCAAAACTCAGAGCTAGTACTGTATCTTCATCTTCTTTGACCGACCAACTGCCTTTGACACAGTCAACTGTGTTCTTGAAATCTTGGCTTTTGTTACTCTGACCTCTCCTGGTTCTTGCACCTCTGCATTTGCTCTTTAGCATCCAAAGGAATCCTTGTCATTTTCCCCATTATATTTTTGGTGGAAGTTCTGCTGGGCTCTCCCTGGGTTTCCTCCTTTTCTCTTTATATGTTTTATCTCTGGATAATCTCAGCTTCAGTGTGTTATAAGGTGAGCCAATTCAGATGACAACTACTTTGGCATTTTGGGCAGTCTTGGTACGGTGGTTGCACTTTTTGTGGCCATGTCTATATTGCAAAATTATACCATGTTTGAATACAATTATGAATTGACTTTATTCTGACTGATTGCTGTAGAACTGTTTAACATGGTGTTGACTACTCATATTAAACTCTGGTCCCAACAAAATAAGAAGACAAATAAACATATTATGGAAAATTAAATGTGGTTTTAAAAGCGATGAAAAATTGTTCTTGTTCTTCACACCTGCCGTGGGAAGAGCGCATTATAAAACCATGCTGATCCAAAGGTGATATTATCCTTTCTTTGTTGGTTAATACTTTTGGAATGTACCGTGTATGTAGTACATGCTGGAATTGAGTTATCTTTCTAGTTTTATACTTTGTTCTTTATAATTAAGAAACAGGGCTTTCTTTTTATGTGTATACCAAAGAAGTAAAGTTTAAATGAAATTAGAATATACTTTGGAACTCATTTTTTTGCTGTATAATGAGCATTGGGAAAAACTGTCAAGAATTTAAAATGCAGAATTGCATAAACATGACTCACTGGGGTGTGAGGGTTTGTTTTGGCCCTCTAGCAGGGAGTACATTTGCTAACACCTCTGTATATTGAGTTATAAGGCAGTGCATTCTTCTTAGATAAGTTTCATCCCAACTTGAAGCTTTGCTATGGTTACTTGCATTTAGTTTGAAGTGCTGTTTCCATTAAGTACAAGTAGGATAAGAAGTTCCTTCCAAATGCAGTCTCTAGATAACTGTGTACTATAAATTGGGCTTCCACGCTGCATTTGCATGTTGCATGTTAAGCAATAAATTCATTGTTTTTAAAACAATTTCCAACCTAGAAATTGCACAACTTGGGTCCCAGGCTCAATTTTAGCCTCCCATGTGTACCAGCAGTTGTTCAAAATTCCATAGGTATGTTGAACGCTGAAGAAGCAGTTATTTCAGGTAACTCTTGTTCCACCCTGACACCTGAAATAATAATGAGGCCAGACTCTGAAAGCAGCCAGCTTCAAACCATTTTGAAGAAAAGGGGAGCATAATGGAGGGCTAATCTGGGGGAGGAGGGCAGGGAGAGGAGGGTGTAGTTGCACTCCCCCCTGTTTCACCCAAACTTTAAAACCAAGTGCCTGGGAGGGGCAGCAGCTTTTCTACTCGAGCAATGCTAAAGAAGTTCCGTTGGCTTCATGGCTCATTATAATGTACTTGATTCCTGCTAATCTCTCTCTATGCCAAAGATATTAACAACTCTCTCTCCTTTTTAATGGTCTTGATGTTCCCTTAATCAAGTTATCCTTTTTTCTGCAGTTTTGCTGTCTTTTTGCCATTCCTGGTAATATCTCTCTGGTCTGCAGACTGTTTGCAGTTCTAGCTAAAAACCTTAACTCAGATGTGGTAATATTGACTCAGATATACATTTACCCAGGTGTAGAAATGAGTAACAGTGAAGTGTTGAATGCACTGTCAAGATGCTCAAGGAGGCTGGATTTTGTATTACAGATATGAATAAGAGATATATATTTAAGTATAATGGACTACAGGACTAATAAAAAAGGGTATATTTTGACTATTTTTGCCTAGTTTCTTGTGGTTTTTAAACTTAATGTATATTCTAGCAAAATAGTGTGCATTCCAATAAAGTTGTATTTTGTTTTTCTTTGATCTTAAACTGAATAATATAGTTCTGGGCCTCTAGCATATTAGTAAATCTAATTTCTCTTTAATTGGAGAAAAATGTGTTTCATTGGTGCCTCTCACCACCTTTACCCCCTTTCTTAAAATCCTAGATCCATCCGTAAGCATAATTTAGGGGCATTGTGACAGAAATTTAAAGGGTTATATTGGGGGTTCTAAATTCTCTTCTTAGCCTTCTAGCAAATAGTTTAGTCAGTAGCCAAAATTAAGTTCAGGATCCTGTTTTCATAGGTGTAACTACATGTACAGAGCCCTTTGGAAGCCCCCAGGGAGATGATAGTAACCTATGGGGGCCAGAAAGGAAACACAGTGGGGGTGGCGGTGGGGAAGTTATCTGGCAGCACCTATTAGGGAGAGGACATGATGGTGGCTGAGAGTACGCATCCTTCCAAAACTGCCGTGCGTCCTCCCCCAGCAGGGATCATACTTGAAAACACTCGGAGATGACTGCCTACCTGCATTTGAGTCACCACTTTCTCTGTCCTGCCCAGAGCACAGAGGCATGTTACACTTGTGTGTGCCTGGTTCAATCTGCCATGTTACACACAATTCCTGAAAGTGTGTGTGTTCATATTGTGCTTTGCTCATGTCTTGTACTATATGCTTATCAGTTTTCAATGGGGAAAATAACCTTTATAAGGGGTGGGGGGAATATGTATATGTATAATTTCTCAGATTCTCAAGAGCATTTTGCCATCTATGTGAAAACACCAGTACCCCTAAATTTAGTGGGCTCCAGGATGTCAACAAACTGCTTTGGTTTATCTTACCAATTAAAATAAATAAAGACCATAAATGCTCTCCCTATCATTCTCCATGACAAGTTAACGATGGAAGCACTATTAATAATTACTTTAACTCCAGAATGTTTTTCTTTGTTACCTCTAATATAAACCTGAGCTAAAGGGGCCAAATTTCTCATGTGGTGCTTAAGAGCATTTGCTGTATAACTCTTGTTGTTACTGCAAGTTACCTGCTTATTGTCCTATGCACTACACTAACAATTCCCACAGTAATTTCGTTCTGTAAAAGTCATAGAAATGTTTCATTTTTTTTTTTGCTTACAGGGCTGTGACTCCCAAATGAGCATGTCAGAAATGTCCTGTAGTGAAAGTACCTCCTCTTGTCAGTCTCTGGTACATGGCTCAGCTCCAGAAATCCTCATCGGCTTGCTTTATAATGCCACAACTGGAAGACTATCAGCAGAAGTGATAAAAGGCAGCCACTTCAAAAACTTAGCAGCAAACAGACCACCCAGTGAGTGAAAATCTTTTTTTTTTCCCCCTCATCCTAATACTTCAACACTTGTGACACTCTCAGTGGTGGGGACTTCAATCCTATCATTTAGTCTTACCCAATCAAAATGAAATAGAGCTATCATCAACTAATCTGTTTCATGTTTTATATTTCTAGTCAGCTGGGAAATAGTGCAAATCTAAAACTGAAAATATTAATTGTAAGTTGACAAGACTATTTTAATTTTTTACGATGACTGCCTAATAAATTATTTTTATCATCATGATTAATTGCTAAATTATTAATGCCTTGCATCATGGGCCAAAAATAAAAGTTCCAGTGTTTAAAGAGAAAGTGTGTGCCAACCTAATATTAATGTAAACTTGGTGAAGTTACTGCAGTTACTAGGAGACTGAATTGTGTATGTATGTGTAAATAATGTTTTTAAAAAGCATTATTTAAATTTTAAAATGCTGATGAGGATCAGATAAGACCAAAGTCTAACTTTTGGTATGGGATGTTGTACACTTCACTTCCTACACTGGGAAATTAATCACCAAATGGATTTGGGCAAACTTTTGGATTCAATCTGAGTCCATAAAAAGCACTCAGTCACATTTAGTTTGAGAAAAATTAATGCCTAAAAATATTTGCAAGCTTTAGAAATGTATATTTTTGGTCTAGTTTGTTTGAAAGCTTTATCTGAAAGCTCAGATTTTGGACAGATTTTCTGTCCAAGAGTCCCTCATTTTCCTATTGCTGCATCACTGGCTTAGCTAACAAGTTCCCAATGTGTAAAAGCAGCTTTCTCACTTTACCCTCTCGCCCCAGAGGGTTGTTCTCTCCTCTGACATCTGAGTTAAAAGTGTATGCCTAGGACTTGAGAATCTTTTCTCCCTCCCCTAGCCCACTACTTACCCCATTCATTACCTTGGCTCACCATTCTGCACAGCTTTTTCTTTCTGCAGAGATGGAGCTGAATTTAGTTGACGTGACTAGAGAAGGGTGATGATGAGGAGTCTTAGCCTGTTGCCAAATAGCTGTTCTTGACATACCTGTTTGGAGTCAACATATAGTAGAGTTTATTAGGAATCAGAGAGTAAGAGGTAGGGAAGCATGATGCAAAGACAGGAAAGGAGGAAAAAGAATTGAAGAGGCAGAGGTGGAGGATCTCAGAGAAAAGAGAAGGATGAATGGGAGAGGGAAAACTAAAGCTTGAATTAAGGAAGGAGGATGTCTAAATCAAGAAAAGGGGAGCAGTGCCCCTAGGCTCACCCGGAGAAGAACATATGTAGGAGGGACCCTGAAGTTTCCAGAGGCATAGAATAAGCTACATTTCACTGTAAAACACTGGTATGTAAATAGCATACACTTCGTTTACTTAAATCCAAGATGACTTCAAATGTAAAACATTTGTGATACCACCCCCTCCCCCACGATTAGACTTTTATTTTTCTTATATTTTTCCATGTATAAGATATAATTAGTGGAAGATCATCTTAAATTTGTCCCCTCCATTGCTGTGGCAGGGAAAGCAGTGGCTGGGGGGGAGGGGCCAAACCCATGCTTTTGCTCCCCTGCCCCTTGTCTCCCCCGTGCCTAAGCCCCACCATATACTCCCCCACCCTTGCCCTTCATGCTCGTATCTTCCCCCTCGCTCCCTGCCTCCACTGGTTCCCCTGCAGCCTGCTGCCTCACCCTTTGCCACCCATGTCTATACCTGACCCCTGCTGCCTGCCCCCCCACTCCCTGCCCACCCCACCTCACCTTCTGCTGCAGCTCTGCTCAGCTTCAGAGCATTCAAATAGCAGCAGTGAGTTCCTGGCCCAGAGCCAGCCAAGCCACAGAGAAACGGTGAAAGTTCCCAGCTAGGCCAGGTCAGGGATGGAGGGACCCAGAATGGAGCAGAAGGTAAGGTGGGAAGGAGGCAGCTGGAGGGGTTGGGGCATGCTGCAGGGAGGCAGAAGAGACCAGAGGGTGAGGGGGAAAAGGGAAGCTTTGGGGGAAAAGGGTGGAGGGACAGGCTGCAAGTTGCCCTCTCACCCACCCCCAAACTCTCCCTCTGGCCGTGTGGCCCCTCTGCTGCCAAATAAGCCATTCCAGCAAGGGGTAGGTAGTGGCACAGCTTTGGCTTCAGCCTGCAGCCCAGGGCCAAAGCCAGGAGCTGAGCTGCCATCTGCCCCAGGCTGGTACTTAAATCAAAGGTGAGGCTTTTTTTTCCCCCTGTGCTAACGGGGGGGGGGGGGAAACCTCATTTTGGTTTTGGGAAAATGCATTAAATTAGAAGATAGGATTTTTCAGTGCGCCGTTTAAAGCAAGTCAGGTAGCGCTATAATAATACCACCTTCTGTTTTTCCCTAGTGGTTGGGAAATGTCTTTTTTATAATACTTTAATTTATACAATGATGATAACCTAGTATTTCAGGTGTGTGTGTATAGATATTATCTCCATATATGCAGAGATATATGTATATTCATAGATCTAGCTTTAGCTGTATATCTATATGACATCAACGTTTTGTTGTTTCCATAAAACTGAGGCTTGAGCTCACTTCTAGTTTTGATAAGACCATGCAAAAAAACCCCTTGTGATCTTGTAAAGTCAAAGCTTCTCTGATAAGTTACAATAAGATTCAGTTATGGAAAGCAGCATTTGGGTCACACATGGCTCTTCGTATTTCAAGGATTGTAAGCCTAATTTTTATGAATTTCATTCCAACCAAATTTGGATACGTTCTCATGTTTCTACTACTAGCTTGTGTAGCCTACTCTGCTACTGTGTGTAAGAGCTGTAGTGTATTCCATCAATCTTATAGGCCAGCTAGTGCAAACAATTAAAGCTGAGTTCAGAATGTGGTGTTTTGCAGTACTTTGGGGTAGTCTTCACTGTAGTCTGATGGGGAAGATTGTAATGAACCTGATGAGATTTTATGCATGTCTAAAATTCCATATCTAAAATATTATGAGTACACAAAAGGTGATATATTAAATAACTCTGTGAATTGATTTTAATTGGTCAGTTGAATAGGTGAGTTTTTAAAATTTCAATATTGGAAACCTCAGTTGAATCTTAGGTCTGAGCAACTTTCAGTTTTAGAGACGTGTAGGTGAGATTCACTGAAGTTCGTGGCTACTTTAAGCAAGCAGTAAGGCATTGATTTAAACAACATAACATTCATTCACATAATGCCTGGCCAAGAATAGTATGCATCTGTAGGGTTAACTTTTCAGTTTGGTAGTCTTTCATTTTATTGTTTGTATATATTGAGCATAACATCATGTAGTTTTCCTTAATATGCTGGAGTTTGCATGAAAAAGCATAAGGTTTGGTTAAAAAGTCAGTGATTTCAACCTAGTCTTTTATAACCTTATCACTTGCATGATTCTTTCTATGTTCAATGTGCTTTAAACCCAACAGCTGTTAATACTAAGATAGCCCATTATTTAAGCAGTGTAATTTTTTTGGTAAAGATTACACAGTGACCGTACAAATTTCTCATTTCATTAAATTTTACCC